TAGGTATAATAGTAGCTGCAACGGCTCAATCAACGCCCATATCCCATACAGTAACGCTGGTAATACAATATAACCTTTTCAGCCCTTCGGCATTCTTTTGTGTCATAATGGAAAGCAATTTCATGTTATGAGCCCGTTTGCAACCAAGCTGTGTTCACATACTATGTATACCATGTATGTATAATCATAGTTGTCTGGCAAGAATACTGTGTGCTACATTGGTGTCCAGCTCACCATTTCTGCAGTTATTCTACAATAAAATATTATATTTACAGTCGACGAAAACGTAACCCTTTTTGGCATGTACATGTGTAGGTGTATAAGCCTTTGTAGGTGTTCATACCACTAATGGCTAAAAACTTTGTTCGTTCTCTTCCTCGTTTTGCTGCCTTTTTCGCTAAGCCTCGCATTTCACACAACGGACTAGACAGCCCATCAAGCACACACACCGCCCACCTCCATACACAAGCCAGTAATTTTTCTTTTTTTTTTTCACCCTCGAGTTTCCATCCCCCAAAAAATGCTCGTTGTTTTTGTGTATACGGCTACATGAAACTATTCTCGTATTTGAAAGATTTTGGCAACGGATAAAGTTTCCGAAACGGGCCAAAAACAACCGCGTCAAAATCTAGTCCAAATGTAGAATGCATATGTATATACACATGTATATATTTGAATACATACATACACACTTACTATACATATAAGACATATGATAAGTCCAATTTCTGTTACGACTTCGATGGATTGTTGTTATGGTGTGTTGTAATATGGTTACTGCTGTTCTGGTTTTATTTAATATTATTTCAAAACTTTTCTTACTGCGCCAAGCTTTTGCCTTTTGAGACGGTTTAGCTGTGTTTATTTAATGGTCATTGTCATGGCTGCATATTTTTAAATACAATTAGAAATTCGACGCCTTTCAACGATATCTTTGAAATAACGAAATAAACTCCTTGCGATCAACTTTGTTAATGGATCCGTTATTGCCTTGTCCTCAGCAATTTATTGATTAATTTTCATACCCGTATATCATAAGTTGACAGAACCAGCTATTGGCTTAATAGACAGCCAATGAGCAAGTCAGGTTTTATTTCTATCATTTATTTAAGCACGTCACTGTTTAATTTCTTCCAATTCAGACTTATGCAGTTTAAGCTAAATAAAGTAACAATAGTGCATTGGGTGCAGATTAAAATTGAAAAAAACTTATTAAAAGTTTTTTTTTACAATTTAAGGTTAGTTTGGATGTTTTCTTATTGGGTTCAAATTTTATTGATTTACATTAAAATCTTTTTTTCTGAAGCCATACTAGCGAACAATTGCTTGGCTTATAAGTGTTCGTACTCGCGGATTTGGATGAAATATTTAAAAGTGCTGTTAGTTGATTTATGTAGCTTTGGAATTGTTAACACAATACAGGTGTTAATTAATTTCAAATTCTTGGGAAGCAGCTGGGAAAAAATTTTATAAAAACATATTTAGTGACATATTTATTTAACCACAAGCATCTAGACGTCTTTGCGTTCCCAATAATTCCAAACAGTAAACTGGGATAGTTTGGTTGATATGCCAGGTTTTAGGGGCTTACATTAACTTGTTAACAGAAACCTATACAAGTAGGTTAAAAAAAAACACATCAAATTTGAAAAATAATTTCTGAACTTTCTCTCATTTCAGGTAAGCAATCATAACTCAGCCTATTACCGGGTATTGGAAAATGTAAACGAGATACACAGTCTGTTGTATATGTGTATCTTTCTTGGTATTTACTGTTTGAATTGTAACTGTAATAATATTTATAGTGTATGTATTGTATCTGTCGTAGGTACCTGCATATATTTATCTGCCTCCTTCGCCGCATAGTTTGAAATTTGTATGTAGTAGGAGTATGTTTCAATTACTCACGTTCAACAACCTCCACAAAACAATCTAACATCTTTACATGTGTACATACATACATACTACATATACCTACTATATAAATATATACATACATATATGCAATATAACAGCACTGCACGATTCAAAGCCAACCACCGAACCTTAAATGAAACAAATTCCCTACTCGTACATGCGTCATTTGTACTCTTATAGTATATGTATCAGTAGCCGCAAATCACGATCAACTTTCCGCCAAAAATCTATTTCATTTACATGCACACTCCTACACGTACAAAAACACTTGCTTACACATACATACATATAGTACACACACACATACACACTGACAATTTATAGCAGGAAATTAAAAATGCTTTTTGTTTGACAATTTGGCAAACAACATTTTATATCAGCTGTATGCTGTATGCGAAAATTTAAAATTAAAATGTAAGTGTATAATGGCATCGAAAACAAAAACCAAAACCAGAAACGAAAAAAAAAAACGAAGGGAAATGGCGTAACTTTTTTGCTGATGCTTATCAGTACATTTTTGGCGGCTACTTGCACATTTCTCTACAATTTGTTTTAATTAATGTTAGCTTCAATTGTAATATGAATTTAAAATATATTTTTGCCTAATATGCGGTATTTTTCGTTTTCCTGTAAATTTTTAATTATGCCACATCCATCTGATATTTCCTTTTCATGTCGCTCTCTACCTTACTTTAAGGACAACTCTTTGGCATTTCTGTGTCACAGTTTATGTTCGTCATTATGAAAACTTGCAATTTGTTTGTGTGCGGCATACTTGGCTAAAACTTTGATTAGACAGTTGGTTAAACGCTAATTTGAAAAGCTTGACAAGCTGTTGACCTATTTTTTATGCAGGACAGAGCGACTAATTGAGGCCTGTTCAGAAAGGAAAAAGCATTTCAGGGAATTTCACTTATTTTATGTTTTGACAAATGACTTTTTCTAAAACTATTAAATTTGCGAAGCCCGGTTTTTGCCTTGAGAATACAAGGACAGTGCAAGCATCTAAGATCACGATTAACTTAACTTCTCTAAAATAAATTCATTATATATTTTTCTTGTTTTACACTCACTGCCCAAAATTGATCTATGCATTTTTATTAAAAAAATCAGCCTATTAATAGTTTTAGGTGGTAAATCTAATTCTCTAAAAGGTATCAATTGCATTTCAAAAAAAAAAAAAAAATTTGCTATAATATCTAAATGACGATCGAGAGCTATAAGCAGTAAAATGCATTAAAATTTACAAGATAAAGCCATCAAATAAGTAAGCTTCATACGTCGCATAATTATGTGAAATGTCTTCTCACGTCTGAATATTTTATGATAAAAGCTCACTCAGAAGTTTCCCAATTGCAATCCAATTTACTATTCAAAGTAAAGGTAGCTTAGTTTAATCCCAATTTAATATTACAGCATTATTTACAAGCCTAATGTAATGAGAGCAAAAATCTTTGAGGCAAGAGCTGCCGACTAACAAATATTTTACTTATAGTATACCATTAGCACATTCTTGCTCTTGTTGTTGTGTCGCTTAACCGTAAATTAGTGTTTGTGTTGTTTATTTTGTGGCTGTCTAAACGTAATTGTCTGTAGAAAAATTAAGATGTAAAAAGTACGAGTAATTACATATCGCCAAATAAATATGCATTTGTGTAATGATATGTAATATATAATTATGTAGTGTAATTGAAAGCAAAGAAAAGCAATTATTACTGATAGCTTATTTCAAAGGGGAAAAACTCATTTTTTATAGAGATTTAAAGTCTACAAACAAAAAATTGAATACAATGTCGCAATTTATTGAAAATGTTTTCAGCTAGAAAATCTGAGCTTTTTTTTTTGCAGATACACGTTTATACGGCAAAATGTAATTTCTGTTTTTGTGCAGCACTTTCAGAAATTAGCTGACCTAAAATGAACATGAATTGAAAATGACTTTACACTAAAATTACGTTTTGGAAAATGTCAAAAATGTTTAAATTAACGATAAACGCAGAAAGGCAATATTGGCTTTGAGTTTGGGTCAAACTTTTGAGGCGAATGGGAGCTTGAAAATAATTTTCCAACTAGAATCAATACTGTTTTGATCAAGCCTTACAAATGACTGAAAACAAATACTTCGCTTCCAAGCATTTTCATCGATGCCAAGTGAAAAAGGCAAACGCTCCTTGCCTGTACTGGCCTGTTATTTTAATTATAGCCATTACACGTATTTGGTTTATTGAATAAAATACAATATTTTGTTTTCATTAGCGCATTAAACATGTCTGAAAAGTACTTTACAACATAATTTCATTGTTAAATGGTTTGGTTACAATTAATTAATTAATCAATAAATATTTTCTCATTCACCAATTCCATTCCCACGACATGGTTGTCCACGCATTTTACACGAACATTTACAACGTTTGTAGTTACGACTTTTTAGTGCTCATATGGGCTTACAAGTAGCTTAACATGTAGCTGTTGTCAATGTGTCAAGGATTTTGTGGTAGAAAAAATATAGTAATAGTAATAATAAAAAAGTGTTGAATAATGTTATTGTATGCAGTGGCATGTAATTAAAATTTGAAAGAGCTTTGTATGTGTATTGTAAGCTTGGTATTAAGTGGAGCAGTGTTCTATCGAGTAATACAACTTTCTGCAGAGATTCTGAAAATACACGTTTTCGGTATGTTGCTTTGAAATTGGCCAGAATTGAAGCACATCGACACAAAGTTCCACTTGACGCCGCAACTAAAAAATAACTAATTATCCTATATAAAGAATTCATGCATAATTTGCTCTTTGTACATAAATATGTTTTTATTTATTTAAAACAAACAAATAAACTGGGTTTTGAGCTATGTACTTCTGATAGTTCCTTTGTATACGCATATCTAATATTGCCCGCATTAATTCACTGAATCCGAAAAAGGAAAAGTCATATAAACCCGCCTCCTTCCACTGCATACCTTAAAAATAACGTTAAATTAATCTTTCCCAACGATGTAGAATAACAAAACGTTAAAAAGCATTAACAGAAAAAGACAAAAGTTTACTAGTGGCGATATTTTCTTTTCTGGTTTCTTACATTGCAGGTTTCAGACACCAATAAAAGCGTTTGCCTGCCTGACAGCAACAAGGTAAGCGTGAAAGCTGCTCTCAGACACATGAATTGAAACCAATTGTTTAATTATTTTCTTTAAGTTGTATAAGCAACGATTGTCCTAATTAGTTTACAATTTAATAATTATAAATGTTTAAGTGTGTGTCTTAATTGTGTATGTAGATTATGTGTTGTCCAATACATTTCCATTGGCTAGTAAAATACTATATACTCGTAATTGTTAAATGCTATTATTTCTTATTAGCAAACTCATTTCTTTGATCTTGACGTCGTAACCACTAGAAAAATCAAATTTATTTGTTTCATTTAAATCCTAATTGCAATCAAATACAAATCAAACACTAGCTCGGAGAATTGTTGTCAACTCAGCAACAAACAAGAAGCCTCAATCTGACCACAAACCAACCTAAACACGCACACCCCCAGTTTTCTGAATTTATGAACTGTGTTTTCACATGGCTTCATCCATACATATGTAGTACATATATGCGTAATGTATACGATATTACGCATACGCCACGTAAGCTCTTCAACTACAATAACGTGTTTGTGATGTGCGCGCTGTGGTCAATAAAAACAAAAAGCAACTAAAGCCCTATAAATGCTTTTGCCTCAATGTGAATTGTCATTGTATTTGCTGTTGTTGGTTGTTGGTTCTCTGGGCGCTGCATTTGGCAGTCGCCTAAAGTCCAAAATGGGGCCCTGCTGCGCTACTTACAGCTGCTTGGCTAGCTACTTGAGTGGTTACAACAACATACAAGTATATGTTTGTATATTCCTATGTAGCTGCTGCCATTATCATGTCTTGTTATGATTTTATTGCCGCTGATTATTACCCTGCAATTTGTTAAACAGATCGCGCTCAACATGTGCATTTCCTCTATGAGCCAATAGGGAGACAATGTTTTAGTCCACACGACTCCTTAAATGTACCGTAAATGTTTCCGGAAAGTGCGTGCATTGGGCGACCTCTTATTCTACATAAGTATAATTGTTCGTTAGTGTTGTTTCTGTTGTTGTTGCTGCCGCACTTCAAGCACAGCACTTCATTACTTCCCCTTGAGCATTGTCAATGCACTTGCAATGCATTTTCTGAATTTTTGTTGTCTGTATCTACATAAAATACTGCTGCCCTTCTCTAATGAGCAGGTGGTCTGGTCTATTTTTCGTTAGAGTCATTCATAGTTTTATTTAGCTACTCAGATTTGTCAGCGTAGAATCGCTTTAAATTGTAATTTAAAGAACTCAAAATTAGTCTACAAAACATGAGGAACGGTCATACAAATGTAATTATAAATAGTATACAATATATATATATATATATATATATATATATATATATATATATATATATATATATATATATATATATATATATATATATATATAAATATAATTGTAAATAGTGTTGTGATACCAACAAGAGCGTATAATAAAAGTGTAGATAGAAAACGATTTTCAAAATGGACTTTCGCAATTATCTGAACCACTAAGTTTTTAGAAATCATGCGTTAACTATTAGTTTGATAGTAATTAAAAGAATCCTTTTTAATCCGTATTTGGATTGCACAGACAGCTACGTCTTAATTGATCGAAAGTTGTTAAAATTCTAAAACAATTTCAAATTTGCATATCTTAATGTTGTATTAATTAAGTTGTACTATTAGGCAAGTTTGATTGAGACTTGAACTACAACAGTTATTTATACATTAATTAATTCGATAACATTTTGAAATAGTTCATTAGCAGGACGTCAGCATTCCATCAGTTGTAAATTAGGTTTTTCCTGCAGCTCATGTTAGAAGTTAATTATTTTGGAAAAGGAAATTTTAGCAATGTATTTTCGATGTGTGACCGTACCCCAAATAAGAGACAAACTGACAGGCGAACAAACAAACATACAGACAAACAAATAAACATGTAGACAGACAGACACACAAAGCTTGCACTGCCTGCCAAAATTGCCGCTATCGTTAGCGTCGTGCCAAAAACCAAACCAAAAAAAGGGGAATAATGAAAAAACAATTCGGCAAGCGTATGCTGCAATATTTTATCTGCTTATGTGTAATTACAATCAATTTGATTGTTATTTATAGTAGCGCACAAACTGCCTTTGCTATTGTTGGCGCAATTGCATTGCCCATTGGGCGTGTATGGAAAGTGCAATTTTTACAAACGAGCTGTTAGAACGATAAAAATCGCATGTAAATGTCGCCCGCTTAGCTGCTATTGGCGCGTAATTGTTGTTGCTGTTGTTGTTGTTGGCTATTATTGTTTTTGTTCCTGTTGTAGAGGCGTGCACCGGACTCATCAGGCTGTATTAAAATGCCGGCAACAGGACAAAATATACTGAAACACGCAATAGCGGCGGCAATACAGAGACCGCAACACTTGTGCGTGTGTTTGCTAACCAAATTAATTACGTTGAAATTTATCTGTACAAATTAAAATAACAACTGTGTCCAACTTACATTTTCAATTTTATTGTCGAAAACAATGTCCTACTCTTTCCGCCATATGTGAGCCAAAACATAGACCATAGACTAGGCCACACAGCAGCTGCCGTTTTTCTATCACACTTTAACGGTACGACTCTGACAAAAACGCGGCCGTCGACATTATATTACAGAGAAATTATAGTTCATTATTTGGCAACAGCAAACAGCCCGATAATGAGGCTCAAAACTAGCCATTTTACAGATGCGCTTCTAAACATTTGTTAAACTGTTATTTTAAATCAAAGTTTTGTTAGTGTTTCTTATACAAGCTGCTAATAAGTAATCGCAATAAAACGCAATAGGGAATTATAGTATTATAATTGTAAGCCAAGAAGACTTAAACTCTACTTGGAACATATATATTAAATACAAATGAACGGAAACTTTGAGTTTTTAGACCATCCTTTATGATGATACTTTTTCATATACATATATTTATCTAAGTATAAGTTCGGGAATAGCATACACCATTACCCTTGTTTCGCTTTTTATACTCTGTACATGAAATGTACAAGAGTATATTAGGTTTGCGGGAGCTGAAAAATGTAACAGGCAGAAGGAGGCGTGGCAGACCCCACAAAGTATATATATTCTTGATCAGCATGACAAGACGAGTCGATCTAGCCCTGTCTGTCCGTCTGTCCGTCCGTATGAACACCTGGATCTCAGAGACTATAAGAGATAGAGACACCAAATTTTGCACGAAGATGCGTTATGTGTGTATTCTATACGAGTTTGTTTTATTTTTTTGATTTTCCCCCTCACTTCCCCCCTATGGGGGTTTTCCCGATTTTCCATTCGTATAATCGCCTATATCTCGGAGACTATAAGACCTAGGAATACCAAATTTTAGTCCCAGATGCCTTATGTGAATACGCAGAAAATGTATATTTTGGAATTCCCCTCCCTCCCCCCTCTACCCCGCAAATCGTAACTCCCGTAATTCTTGGAATTTCGAACTAAAATTTTGGAAATACCCCCAGTTAGTTATTATGTGTCCGTATGCCAAATTTCATTATGATAGACCGATTTAACAAGAAGTTATAGCCATAAATATATTTGCTGATGCAGCGCTGCTGCAGCGCTGCTCAAGCGCTGCCCGCGGCTGTTGTTTGGTTGACTGCGAAAATGCTTACACAGACACGAATAGATGCGCATAGGCATACATACACTCACACAGATGCAATTGCTATGTAAATGTGCAATTATACACCCTTTACGTGAGTTCGAATACCGAGAAAGGTAAAATCGATCAAATTTTTTTTTTTATTTTCTTAATTTTTTTATTTTCTATAATTATTGTAAACATATGTACAGAGTATTTCAAAGTCGGGACACCCGACTTTAGCTTTTTTACTTGTTTAAATAAGCTAACGATTTATCTCGTGAACTGGCTTTTAACTGTCCAATATTGACGCTGTTATTTCTCAAACTGTTTTAGTTTGCATCTTCGAAAATAATTTTCGTGTTTTTATTAGCACAATTTCAAAATAAACTATAATTATTTGAATTTAATAATTAAAAGCATTTGTGTCTGTTTTGTGAACTGAATTACTTAGAGATTAAAGATTACGACTAGTTCGATTCACACTTGCAATTCCCGCTACTAGTGTTTTTAAGAGGTCCCGCAATTCAGGCATTTTGGCAATCACATCACATTAGTACTGATTTATTCTCATGCTAGCCACAAAAGTAATCTCTCTCCCTCTCAGCATGAGCATAAGTATTTAGTATATACATAGGTGTTATAAATATATAATTTCTTGGTTATTTTAATTCAATTTTAAACTCGTTAAAGATGGGGTCTCCATTCGTTCCACTGGTTGGACTTTTAAGCTAATTTTAAGTCCCATTTGGGACCATTTAGCTCGCAAATCTTCACATTGGTTTTACTGCTCTGAGCGAGTGCCAACACAGCTACAAATTTGCTCCTGTTGGCTTTTACTTCCAACTAGATAAACGAATTTAAATTGTAAAGTGCAAACTTTGCCACATACACACAAATTTATATTCCCTGCATGCGGTGTCGCTGCCAGTTGCCCACTGGACACTCCCTGTGGCCTGCTGCGACCTGCTGAGCGGGCTTTAAAAATATGTAGGTAAAAATAAATGAATCGAACGTACACGGTTATGGGATGTCCTTTTCAGTGGATAGTCTAAGCCATTTAAATTCATCAAATATTGCATGGGCCATTAGACAAATATACAAAGAGATCCTTCCATGCATTAAGTATTCGATGTAAAGAGATTCTTGAATATGGAAGTGCAGCTGTTTCTAGATATTTTCATAAAGAACGTAATTAATTTTTATTTATCTGATGCTCAGATAGTATTAGTATTTTCTATCTATCATATAGGGTCTAGTCTAGAGCCCTCATCACCTGCATGTAGCGTATAATTTCCAAAGTTAAACGTAGTGCTAGATTTTTAGGTCACGCTTGCCAAATTGTTACCGCAAACATACTATATACATGTGCATATAAAACTAAGAGTGTGTATATAGTACTTAGTATGTACA